CYTTTAAAGCCCAGGATGCGAGAGGTGTTTTGGGCTGTAGGTACCATATGTCAGGGGGAAGTCTAGAGGGCAAACTCYGGGATAGCTGATCAAATCCTGAGAGTTTTATTTTTAACTCTGCCAGGATTTGCAGTGCCCAGCTGTGATCCTCAGCTGCCTGCCAAGCGCCTTGCGTAACTCGGGCACATCGTGGTGCCTCGGTGCTGCCTCTGTCGCCCAGGTATCCCCGAAGGCAGCACCGCTCTGCCCGGCTTTACATAACAGAACGGGAAATCTGATGAGAAACGGGAAATCTGAAAAGTGACAAGCAGTTCCTTCCATCAGCACRAGAGTGAGCGGGGAACGAAGCGCTGCAGCTCCGTGGCATCAGGCAGTGCCCCCTTCCCTGCCACCCTTCCTGCCAGCATTCTCTGCCCACACCCTYTGCCTCCTCCCCAAAGTTCTGTTTTTACATCTGTCCCCTTCACCTTCTCTCAAAACCTTCCCTTTCCACTACAGAAATCCCCTTCCCTGCTTGCAGGCTCTGCTGCCATCTCCCACCAGGGTGTCCTCTCCATCCTCTCCCCTGACAGTGGTACCCAACACTCTGGCCATTGTTGATTCCACAGCCTGACCAGCTCAAAGCTCTGATGCTGATGCCTATTTTTGGCCTTTTTTGCTGGTGTTTTGGCAGTGAGATTTGCCTGTTCAGGTCACTCAGCTGCCCGGCCAGGCAGGTGTGTGCCCCAACAAACCCCTGAAAGAAGGCTCCACCTCAAAGTTCACAGGATTGGTCRGAGTTATGTCAAAATTATCCCGTTTTTGTTAACGGGATAATTAGAGTTTTGACACAAACAGAAAAGAGCCTGAAGGGCACTGCWATATCCCTCTGGGATTTTAAAGGGAGGAGCAGACACTGCATCCCTTCCCTGTGCAGAGCTGGGGAAATGGGATGGCACACTGGACAGGGGCACAGCACAGGGGAAACATGGCCAGAAATGTCCTTGCTGCCAAGGGGGGACAATTTCCTGCCACTGCAACTGAGTGTGGTCACAGCAGCAGGAGGGTGTGACCCTCAGGGTCAGGAGGAGGGTGACAGCCCATGCAACACAAAGAAAATTGTAATTGTGGCTTGTGTGTACGATCTGAAAATGTGTTCCAGAGAGATCACAGAATCATGGAATGGTTGGGGTTGGAAGGGAATTTTAATCTCACCCAGTGCCATCTCTGCCATGGYAGGGACACCTCCCACTGTCCCAGGCTCTCCCAGCCCCAATGTCCAGCCTGGCCTTGGGCACTCAAAGGGATCCAGGGGCAGCCAMAGCTTCTCTGGGCACCCTGTGCCAGGGCCTGCCCACCCTCCCAGGGCAGAKTTTTTTCCTGATATCCAATCTAACACTACTGTCTTGGAGTTTGAAGCCATTCCCTCTGTCCTATCACCAGCTGTCCTTGTGTTGCCAGTCTTCTGCAGAGCTGTCAATTTTCCCCTTGCTGTAGTAATAATTGTTTCTGTTATTAATCATTGCCATCATCTGCTGGGTTTGGGTTTTCTTTTTTTTTTTTTTTTTCCTTTCAATAATTCACTCTATTAAATGCTTGGCTCCCAACAAGAAATTACAATGGCTCAAGGAATCCAGTGATATAATTTTGCCAAGATCTGCAAACCAAGCACAGAAAGTCACAGTACTCTGTGTACTTGATGAGGCCAACAGATCATCAGCTCACACCCCCTCCCTGTGTCACATTAGTCCTGAAGASTTCTGCAAGAAGGAATTTTCGTGGTGGAAACTACCACTGAATGTGAGTAATAGTATCAGTTTGGCCTTTGTGGAAAGATCATTAAATCACAACGTGCTCAGAAGGGACAAGAGTCCTCAGGCTTTTTTTCRAGTGCTATTTTTAGCTGTGGATATGAAGACTTTTCTTATCAAATAATTAGTCATCACCAGTTAAGGCAAGTTAACTTTTCAGAATAAAATAGGAAGTCATTGAAAGCTTTTCTGAGTTTCCAAAAAAGGTTTGATTTAGAGATCATTGAAGCCTCTGCACCTGACTGTAATTATTAATAGAAAATGGGAAAGCACAAAAAAGGAAAAAAAAAAGATTACAATTCCTGCCTTATTTGAAGGACAAAGTGCTACAGATAAAGACATTTACCCAGATTTCTGTGTCATCCCAGTATTGCAGAGGTGTAGGGGGACTATAAAATTTTTTAAAAAGGTGTTTTACAGCCAGAGCAGTCTCTTGTAGAMGAAAAGGAGAAAATCCTGACCATCCAGAGAGATTGTAGAGAGGCTCCATATTCATGGGAAATGATGCTCTGACTATAAGCCAGCCAAATAATGCTGTCACAAAAAAATGCCAAAAGCCATGTAAATTTGTGGTAAGGGGCTCATCACTTGTAAAAGAGTGGAGATAATTACGCTGCTGTGCCTGGCACTGGGTACATTTCATCTGGATGGCTGCATTTCATTCCAGGCACACAGATAAATTGGCAGAGTTCAAAGGAGAATGACGAAAAATAATGAAAAGGGTTGAAAGGGAGACCTACAAGATAAGATTAGGGAAACTGGGTATAGCTGGACTGGAACAAATTAATCTAAATGGCAGAAGGAAGGATTTAGGTTTTAAGTACACACCAACCTTTATAGCTTTAAGAAAAGTTCAGCCACGGAACAAGCTGCCAAGGAAGGTTTTAGCCTCACCATCACTGGAGATACTAAAAGGCAGGAGACCATCTGTCAGGGAGAGTTTAGGGATTAAAAAAAAACAGAAAACATAAAAAAAAAAAAAAAAAAAGCATTGCCACAATTTAAGAGTTGAGATAAATAACCCATTCGTGACTAGACTTGAATGGATTAGAAATGGCTGAGCTTTGCTTTTGAGGGGAAGTCCCTGGATCTTTGCAGTCTGAAGATTGTCTGGATTGTATAAACTAATACAAGGGATTTCTGTTGTTTTCAGATTGAGGAGATTAGCATTTAAATGCWTCCAGGAGATAGATGTCTAAATATTAATCTAATCGTATTGATAATACACTCTGYCTTTTTCCCATCAGGCTATGAATGCTTGTATAGAGCTAATATTGAAAAAAAGAATTATAGAATCATGGAATATCCTGGGTGGGAAGGGGCCCATTGGGATCATCAAAGTTCAACTCCTGGCCCTGCACAGAACCCCAGAATCCCACCCTGYGCCTGAGAGMGCTGTCCAAACACTCCTTGAGTTCTGGCAGCCCTGGGGCTGAGACCACTGCATAACAAATCGTCACCTCACTCATTTTCTGTGAGACCATTCGTTCCCACACCTCTTAGCACATCCAAGAAGCATTCATGGCAGTCCTGCTAAAACTTCTGGAAAATCCAGGTGCACCTGGGCTCCCATTACCCACCTGTTCACCAGTAGATTCGTGGCTCACAGCTGCCGTGTGGCTGGTGTTGATATATTGTGGTTGTATTACATCTTATCATTGTTTCTCTTTCAAGACTCGTAACGAAATTGCTCTTTGGGAATCTTTGAATAATATTAGAGCCCTTTCTAAATAACATTTTTAAAATATGTTAATAATTTCCTCTGGAACCGAGGCCAGTGGGAGCAATAGTTTGAACAAGGCAGATGGTTTGAATCTGAGCTCCTCACCAGCCATGGGTGAACCATGTGCAGTCCTGGTGATTTGTTCTTATTGAGTCAGTTCAGATTGGATATCATGGAAGGAATTGTTCCCTCGAGGATGGAACAGGATTCCCAGAAAAGCTGTGGCTGCCCCCTGGATCCCTGGCAGTGTCCAAGGCCAGGCTGGACATTGGGAGCAGCCTGGGACAGTGGGAGGTGTCCCTGCCATGGCAGGGGGAGTTGGATGAGATTTAAGGTCCCTTCCAACCCAAAGCCTTCCATGATTCTGTGACTTTGCCAGGTTGTTCCAATCTTTCCCAGGCTGTTCCCACTGAGCTGTGGGAGCCTCTGCTCTGGGCACTAATCCAAGGCTCATTTCTCCTGTTTGTAAAACCTCCACTTCCCCACATCCCCCACAGGTTGGCTCTGGCTTGCTTTTCTGTGTTTGACAGACTCCACATTCTTTGCTGTTTCCCTCCTGTGGGCATTCCTGTGCTTTTTGATGGCTTTTGGTTCATTCTAACAGCCTCCTTTGTGTTTACTTCCACAGGTTATTTTACGGTCCAGGCAACGGTGGGAACCAAGGGTTTCAAAGGCTCAGGCAATTGCTCTGATCACTCAGCTGTAGGTTATTCTCTTTTGGGATAATCTTGCAGCAATTTGGAGCAGAGGCAGCATGGATGTGTCTGGGGAGGGTGTGGGTGTCRGTGGTGGGAGCAGTAACCCCGTTTACTGCAAAATCCACTGCTCTGAATATTCTTCCATGTTACCTGCGGGAAYTTTTGGATTATCAGCACAGATATTCCCCTAATTTCAATCTTACTTGTCATGGCTTGGCTGCTCACAGCTAGGCAGAGCTCAGTGAGTGATGGGAGTTAAAAGACCCACACTGTACCTGGAGTATTTAACTCTCCTCCTTCACCCATCCTGGTTGAGTCCCACTCCTTTTCTCACYTCAGCCAAACCCAGGCAGGTCTCTGAAAAGCGTGAGTTAGCGGTAACGCAGGAAATTAACAGCTGTCAACTGATATGGGCAAAGGAGGAGTGAAAAGCAAGACTGGTGAGCAAGAGAGCTCTCCTGGGAACACAAACTGAATCTGTGTGCAAACACATCTACATAAAAAGGAAATTGTCTGACAGGGGCAGCCGCAATTATCCCAAATTCCATGTCAGATCACCGTTTCCTCGTTATGTTTCACTRTACATTAAGGCTGTGCCTGTAAGATGTGCTCTGAACTTCATATCGAAGAAAAGCCCCACTGCTGAAAGAGCCATAATTCATTTACTAACAGCCCCTGTTGCTGTGCTTCAATAATGTGATCATTTTCTCTGTGTCCCAACCATATGATTATTCCTGTTGTGTAGAAAATTTAAGTCCAAGGAATGTCAGATCAAATATAAAAGCCTAGTGCTTACCCATAGTTTTTATTCAATTAAGTAGCCATTACAGAGCTCATGCTGCTTCAAATGACATAATGCAGAACACAAATGCAGTCTTTTATTACAAATATATGTTCATCTAAACAAAATGGCACCAACACAATCCAAAGCCATTACAATTTTTAGATTATTATGCTGAGGCTATTATTATATGGTGAGCAGTCGCTGTGAAAGACAAGTGGGGGAACTGAGGCCTCCACGAACCACACTCTGAGTACAGCAGAGCTGTTATTTGATGTTTATTTGTGAAATTCTTAAATGCAGAGGAACAGTGCTGCTTAAAAAAAAATCATGAAAGCACTGAGCTGCATCTTGGAGGATGCTGGTGATGAGTGGGAAGTTCATGTTTAGGGCCAGGACCTGACACAGACAGGTTCCACAAGCAGGGTCTGGGCAGCATTTAGATGTTTACCCCCAAAATGAGTTCTGAAAAGCCCTGTGCTTTCCCAACCCTTCCCAAACACCTCACAAATCGTATTTGCACACCTTTCTTCATTGCCCACAGGATCTGTAAGGCTTCCCCTGCTCAGCATCCCTGAGCACTCCCCGTAGCCAGCACGGGGCCAGAGGTCTCGGCACCCACCCCAGCTTTGGGCTCCTCACTGATCTGGTGTCCAGCACCTCAAGTGTCTAACCCTGCARAAGGCTGAGGGATTCTCCTCTGTGATCCCAGAGCTCTGCACCTCTCTGTGGGCTCCTGTGAGAAGGGATTCCACCAGCATGGGACCCCTCCTTCCCCTCTATTCCCACCCCTGCTYGTGGCTTTCTGCTCACAGGTGACAAACGGTGCATTTGTCCCTTGCCCTGGTGATCAAACACTCCTGTGGAAGGTGGGAGAGGAAGGAAAGAACCCCCTGGGCTGAGCTGGGAATGCCACTTGGATCTCCCCCTTCAAGGAGTGCCAGCTCCAGGCAGCTCTGTGAGAGGAAGGCAGGCTGGCACCGCTCTCTTCCCTATTTCAGACACTCCCTGGAGCTGCTCTGTGTTGAACCAAAGCTGGGCTAACACAGGGATAAAGGGGCTCAGAGCTGCACACAGAACAGTCTAAATGTGTCACAATTCACTCCTCAAACCCTGAAAATAATACAAAGGGGAGGCACAGAAATAGCTGATAATTACGTAGAGACTGAAAAACTGCATTAAAAAACAAGAGTTTAGACGGACAGTTTCTATTTTTACAGACAAAAATCAGGCCCAAACTTCCAAAGGTATTTTGTGTCTGGTTTATTGTTTTCTTTCCATAACAGTCAATGCGGTCCAAGATCTCTGAATGTTATCATGCAAGGAGGAAGGACAGGGACAATTTCCCCACTGAAACCACTTTATTGACACACTTGCAAGACAAAAAGCGAACTGCTCCCTGCTTCCTACACCCCTCACGCCAGCTTCTGTCTACAACTTTTGATTTTACTTTCAGCTCATTACAAGAAAGTCATTTTATTTTCACATTTAGCTGGCAGCTGGAATTCTCCAAATGAGGGAAGCAGGGCTGAGGATGCATCTATCTCATCCCTCAGCAAAATTCCCTGCAACATACGGTGCTGTTATGACTCCGAGCTTTACGTGGAGAGGGAAGCAGGCATCTGGGCTGGGTTCATTTGTAACGCTGCGCTTGCTGGGTTAATATGGAAAGACAGATGAAGGCAGACACTTTAATTACTTCACCCTAACTTTTTATTACAACATCAAGTAAAATGGTGAGTTACAGAGGATAATGGGCGTGAAACATCTGGGATGAAGTCGCACACAAGCTCATGGGTTGTTATCTGCCAATGGGGTTTTAAATATTGATAATTTCTGTACATGCATCTTTGTGTTATATCWGATTTTCTTGATAAATCATCTCAGRATTACTTTGTTTTACGCTGTGAGGTAGCTACTAGGACTGGGACCCCGCTTTTTTCTTCTGGAATTTTCTGAACTGGGACTGTATCGCCACGGCCGCCCGCTCTGTCTCTGGCGCGTCCATGTCTATGTCAAACTCCTCTTGAACCTTCTTTTGCCCATCTGCTCAAAGGAAACACAACGAGAACATCAACAGCTTTGTCAGACAGGGAAAATCACTGGACAGCACAGGTGAAAGAACTCTATCCCTTTCTCCTTCATAGACACAGCCTTGACAATGGGAAAYACATTCAGAGGAGGAAAACTGGGAAAAATTTCATCAAAGCCCTCCCAATGACAGAGTTTGTGACATCTTGTGCGTAGCTGGGCCCTGAGGAGTGACATCCAAAGGGTGCTCACCACTCATCCAGCATCTGGGCGAGTCCCAGATGCTCGAGACCCCAGGGAGCCAACAGCAAGGGACAGCAGAGTAACTCTGCTGTGCCCCCCTGCAGGGAGAACTTAAAGGACTTTTCCAACCTAAATGATGTGATGATTCTGTATTCACTCTAAAAAAAAAAAAGGCAGYTTAAAATATTTTAAAGTAGAGAGATTAAGACCCTGTTCTTATCACACCTCCAACATGAGAGGAAGAGATAATACTTCCTAAGGCTAATTTCCATCCTTTTCACTCGTTTCCTGCCTCATCCCTTTCAACAYGCCGCGCTCTTCCCCTTTGAATCATTTATGCCCAATCTCTCCACCAGCGCGCCGCTTCCCTCACTTCTCTYCAGGCTCTGTTGTTGTCTTTCATCCTCAATCCTTGGCTCTTTGCCTTCCTTTATTCCCAGGCCTCAGCTTTCCCTTCAGCTGCATTTGGCCTCCACGTGGACAACCCAGCTGACGCTGCTGAATTTTCCTTCACCCACCTACAAGTTGAAAGTGCAGCCCTGGGAAAATTCTTGCCCTCGTTGCGAAGATAACCCTAAACTGCCTGGACCGAGTTAGTGGGAACCCACGTCCGCCCCACTAACCTCGTCACACCATCGAATTTTTCACCATAAACTTGTTTGTTAACCTCACTTATGTAACTGTTGTGTCCCAGCCTGCAGTGAACGTCAGTCCTGGAGTCTGCAGGGAGTTCTACTTAACAGCAGTTGRGGGAACTCACCCATTTTGAACCACTTTGGTTTTAATTCTTGACAATAAATCCTCCAGGATGCTCATCCCCATTTACYGTTAATGTCAATTAAGGCAACACTTTCAATGCTTTCAATTAAAATGAAAAGAAACTTCTTCCCCATTGTGTCTCTCCTTTACACCAGAAAACAGGAATGCAATTTCATGATTTAGCACAAGTCTGGCAGCATTTCTTGCCTTTACTTCTTCACTTCCTCAGAACTCAGTTTTTGCGTCCATTTCCTATGGACCACTCTAAACAGAGCAAATATTTAAAAGGAAAGGTTTGCAACACTCCATGTTGATTTCACTTTAACTACAACCAAATAAATACAGCTATGTTGATGTAAGAGAAATGTTCAGTTAGTATTTTGTTTTACTTAGAGAAACATTGAAGAAGAAAGATGAAAATGTAAGAAGAAAGAGAAAATCTGAATGAGAAGAACAGCTTGAACGCTCACCAAAGTTTGATTATTCAGGATMATGAAAAGCTAAGCTATCAAAGATTTTTGTGGAAGAAAATCAATCCATTAACTTTATGTCATTCAATCACAGAAAAATCACATCATTAAATCCAAGAATCTGCATGGCTTGTGCAACTATTCAAGCAACACAACCACCCTAAGTACAGAAATACAATTACAGTTTATTTTCCATGGGGAAAGGGACGTGAAGGTCAGAAGGGAAGASCCAAGGAGAATTCTGAATTGATTTTGATTTGGTATTTACGGGTTAAAGGCACCCTAACCATAAAAAGCTAAAGTGGAGTCTTTGCACCGATTTTAGCCTTTCTGTGTATTAATTACCATCCTCTGGAAATGCCAGTTGGGCAAACCAGATGGGTGGATGAACAGACACAACTGGGTTTGTACCTCTCGATGAAATCTGGCTTGTACAACTCATTTCCTATCACAGCCAAGTTTTAGCACTATCTTAACTTGCAACAGTGACTCAGCAATCTCACGTTAAGAYTGAAGAAAATGCAGCACTTGGTATAATTTGTCTCCAGAATTTCCAGGCCACTCAAATCTTTGCTTGATGTATACCATCATCACTGCCTTAAAATCAACTGTAATATAATAATGTACAATACCTGAAGATAATAAAAATTTACAATATCTTAAGATTTTACTTACTTATTGCTTTTTTTGACTGACTCTTGTTGAGTTCAAAACCAAAACTCCTTATCACTACTGAGAAATGATGAGTAGTAGGATACTCAGATATCCATGTGGAAGGAATCTTCATGTAGTTCAGAAAGTGAAAATACCAACAAAAATGTCTGTGAGGACATTTTGTAGGATGAGAAGTTTTAAGCCATGACTTAGACTCATAATTAACAAATTAGAAGTGTTCAAAAGGACCACGACATATGAATAATGAAGAAGCTCATCATTAGCAGATGGTATGGAAAGATAATGATTACACATATATGCATAATATACATTATAAAACAATATGTGTATTATCTATATATAATGTTATAGACTTTCCTGTACAATTTTCTTTCCCACCACTATGCCCATCTCTCACTTTTTTATACATGTCTGGTACATCCACACAGAGAATATATATTAATATATATAATTGCACAGACTTATTGGTTTAAAAAATATTAAATCCTGTGTTAATCTGAAAAGAGCTGCATTGGGTATTTCACAGATTTTGGGAGTGGATTTTWTTGGAGTTCTCTCCAAAACGTTTTCTGTTGATACCTGTCATAACACAGATATTTTCACAGATGGATTGTCAATCTGGAGATAAAATTCAGTGGGGTGCCAGCTCAGGCTTTGTCTAAGGGAATAAGATTTTAGTTTTTACCTTGAGCTGCTTTCCAAAAAGCAGCCTAGTGGTTTAAAAAGGATCACACACTGCAAACTACACGGGTTTTACTGGTTACTCACGGTTAAGAGCAGGAGYTCTAACTCCCTCATGACAGCTGGAACCAGGTGATCTTTGTGGTCCCTTCCAACCCACACCATTTATGAKCCTCCGAATTAAGAATTAACCAATTAATTACAATGAACAGCCAGCCTGTGCTCAGGACCTGCACAGACTAGAAATCACCTCCCTGTGCTGATAAAAAGACTRAAAGCCTTTTTGCACCTTCCTGCTCCATATCCATTCATGCCACTCTAACTTTTACCTGTCAGTAGCTGTTCACATATCTCAAGCATGCAGGCTGTTGGATTTGAATCCTCAAATCGTTAAATTTCTGCACAGAACTCAAAGCAAGCCCGTGRAAATGCTCCTTTTTCATGCACTGTCTCCCACTCCTGGCTTTCCTTTCACAAGGGATAATTAGCTCAGAAATGGTCTGAAAACCCAGGAAATTGTCACTCTCAGGCGAGAGTGCAGGTAAGCATCAGCACAGGTTTTACTACTGGGCTTGCTTTTCTCCTTCCTGCTGGCGGGGGCCAACCATTCTGCCTGATAACAAAATGTTCTGTCTGATAACAAACCACCTTTCTCCAAGCTGCATTTACRAGGCAATAAAGGTGGGTTGGGATGCCCTCCTCATCCTCAGTCACACACAGACATTTTTGTTGGTATTTTCACTTTCTGAACTACATAAAGATTCCTTCCACATGGATATCTGAGTATCCTTGGACTACCACCCACCTATGTGAGAAGACTAGGGGGAACAAAATTGTTGTCAGTAAACTTCACTCAAAAGCTACTCTGATGTTGCAAGGTTCAGAGACAACAAATGGTTGACAACCTCTGGCCTGCACTTGGGGTATTTTGAAGGGATCTGTTTTCACTAGCAACATAATAAATAAACCCCCTAACCCTTCCCAACTATTTCAAGGCTTTTCCTGAAAGATTTCTCCCTGCTGTTCTAAACACGCCCTGATAAACCAGGGGAGTCAGTGCATGTTCCTGCCAGCAGGGAAGGTGAACAATCCCACGCCAACAGTTGCTGGCCGTAACAGGAGATTTTATCCAAGGAATTTTCCAAAATCACACGTTTAACACGGACTGGCTCTGGCCACGTGCCAGCTGAGGCAAATCTGATCAGTGGTGGGACAAACTCCTTGGAGCACAGCACCCACTGCCTGGTGAGTCCCACCACGACAAGAGGCACCCCACGCCAGGGCTGAAGTCTGAGACAATTGGTGTGGGATTTCTCTCACCAAAGCAGCGCTCATCCCAGCAGGAGAGCCTGAAACCGCAACTAATGAGCTGCTTCCCAAGTCTACCAACATCTTGCACTGCTGCAATTGAAAAAAGATCTATGTATTCCATTTGCAGATGAAACACTCAGCATTAGAATGCTGTCTCCATGATCTGCTACAGCGCCTCGTAATCCATTGCAAACACTGGATGGATAATGAAGCTGAAGGAAAACAATAAAACCTTACACACAAATCTACCCATCAAACTCTGAAGAAACGTGGTGCAAGTGTAATTATTCACAGATATGCCTCCAGCTATTTCTTTCATTTACTTTTCAACTATAAAGTAAAATGAATTGTGACAATGCTGGGAAAAGAAAACGTTGCTTATTCCATATGGGCCAAAAGTCTAAAGCAGTTTTTTATGACAGCTGAACACAGGCTGAACAGACCAGTCCTTCCCAAACCTGTTCAGGGAAGGGAAAAGGTTAGTGGGATGCAAAGGGGACTCAGTCTTTATTCTCAGAATTTCCCCATCTCCTAGATGAAACAGAAATAGCTCATCACATTCTGGAGAACCATTCAGCATGAAAAATTGCACATGCTCAAATTTCTAACTGGCATTTCATGTCTCAGATGCTATCCTGTGCCCCTGCTCACSCAGCTCACATCTAACAGGAATTATGGGACCAGACCGGAGATGGAACACGCTCATAAAAATACTGCATTTTTCAGGGGCTTAACTGCAGCGTTTGGAAGAAAAGATTAAATGGAGTGTGGGACAGAATCACAGTGCCCCATAACAGGCCAGAAGCGCTATTTTGCCTCAGGCAGGATCATTACCTCCCACTGCTCCAAAGATTTTTCAAGCTGTGACAATCTTTA